CCAGACTTTAGACTATAGATAAAATTAATTCAATAATACCATTTAGAAGGCAGCCAAAAAATTCATTTCAAAAAAGAAATCCCACTGGAGAAAAAAATATTAAGTCAAAGATATGTAAGAGATACTACTCATAATACAGTTACAAAAATTTTTTATACAAGTCAAATAACATTTGACAAATAAAAAAGAAGAAAAAGCATATCAGCCACTCCAGATTCCAGTAAACATACAAAGATCTGTTTCAGACTTAGTAACCATACTTATTAAACTAGAAGTTGAATACCCTGTTACACATCTCGAAGAATGACTCAAGGTAATCCAAGGCAGCATAAAGGTACACAAAACAGTTGCTAAGGCTATCTTGCATAAAAGACAAAATAATGCAATAAGAAGAATAATAATAATAAAACAAAAGCAGTATTATAATGATAGGCATGCCATAATCAATAGTATTCTGAAAAGATTTAGAAGACAAATACAATTAAACAGACTCATCTTTTAACAAGAAGAGGAAGTACAGATAGTCATGGAACTTGCAGAAATCAAAACCAAGGTAAAGAAATACTTTTACAACTAAACACTACACAAAAACATTCAAAATCTAGAATGACATCTCAGGTGGCAATCTGAATACAAATCCAAATCATATATCAAGCAATATTACTACAAAGATATGCTAGAAAAGATCATAATAAAAGAATTTATACAAGCAATTAAACAAATTAGTTCAAAGTTAACTCTAGGTCCCAACTAGATACTATATTTAGTATACAAATTTTTGCAAAATAAAGTAAGAGAAGAACTAAAAATGATCTTCAATATAATTATTTGACAAGGCATCATACCCAGGGAATAGAGTAAAGAACACATATATCCAATATATAAGCTCAAGGACTGGATACACAACCTAGACATAATTAGACCAATCATATTACTGGATGCAGGAAAGAAAATATTTACCAAAATCATCACAGACAGACTGATCAAGTGTTTGACTCACAAAGGAATACTATTGGAACTAAACTGGATAGCATTTCTAGGTAATAGTACTTAAGATCCAATCCATATAATCAATAGTATTATTGAACATACAAAAGAAACTAAATAATAAGCCTGGATTCGGAATCAAGATATATTGAAAGTATATGATACTGTCAATTTAGAAATATTATAGTTGACCCTTTAAAGGATTAAGGTACCAGATACAATAATAAAAGTTCTGCTCAGTATATTTTAAGATCACTATAATGCAGTCATAATATGCCATGGCTTAACAGATAAGTATCAGATAAGAGATGAAATAGATAAAGGAGACTAAATATCACCTCTGATATGAACATTTTCTATGATCCACTACTATTCATAATTAGTTAACAACATAAAGGATATACAATTAGCTTGAAAATATATACAGATCTTAAAAAAAGATGGAAAAAGAGAACTATTAATATAACAGTCAATGCATATATGATGACAAAATATGGATAACAAACAACAGAATAGATTTACAAAGAATTATTCATACAGCAAAAGAATTCTATCATATCAATGATATCAAAATCAATCCAAATAAGTCCCTGTTTATTATTATCAATGGCACAAAGGAAGACTTGAAACAAGAAGTACTGATAAATAGTCAGAAAATATAAGGATGTTTTCACAATACACCAGTAAAAATTTTAAAAATCTGGTATTATAATTCAAGACACAAGGATTATCAAAAATTCTTAATAAAGCAGAAGATAGCCAGTACATATATATTAATTGGAATAAAAAGATCACTAATAAACAAGCACATTATATAATCAATCATGTTTTAATACATAATATAGAATATTTATGTAATGATATAATTCTAATCAGACAAACCTATAATTAGCTAATTGGCAAATTGGCAACAACATTCAAACACAAAATAGGATTCACAAACATAATACCTAATAGTATATTATACAGTATAATAAACATAAATATAATATACTATAATGCATATATGGATAGATAAGTACAGTTACATGCCAATAACTGGTGCACCAGAGTAAACCAAAACAATATCACAGGAGATATAGTATGCCATCAACTACAAACAATACAAAACATGTTCTGATTAATCAAAAAAATATATAATCATATGCAAGTTCTACTCTTAGAATCAGGGAGAAACCTTATACATGATATAATTTGAATACTCAAAACATATGGCTTCACACTTCACAAAGTTCAAGGAGATGGCTTTCAGATCATAAAAACAATAAACACTACTATCAAAAAAGTAATTGATCTAAAATTCTATAGAATAATCTGCTCCAACCTAAAAAAACACAACGTCCTTTTTATAGGACAACTTCTCAACAGTAATAGAAAAAACTGTTATATTGGTACCAAATTATAAGAATCTACTGAAAATCAGTACTAGGTTCCACCCTAATATAGTTCTTTATACTACAATATAAATTGCAAATATGAATTATTAATAAACAATAAGAATAAATTGATTGCTTTCAGCAGTGTACACTAACAGTAAACATACAAATAGCTAAATCACATTGGATAGCAATGAAAAAAAATATTGAATTAATCATTGAAAGAAAATAAAAAAAAGTAGACAACAACTCAACAGTATATAGATACTATATATAGATATCTAGCGAATCTCCCCTAAATGAATACGCAGAATGCAATATAAATCAATAGACACAATTTAACTCCATATATATCTTTACAGCCAGCAGACAAAACACAGTAACCATCTCGGTAAAACATAATAAAATCTTAATATGACCAAATATTCTAAAAGAGGATAATATATTCAGAAGTAGAATCTTATCAAATTCAATTTCTACTATGCTCACAGAACAGAAACACAGATCAATAAATAATAACATAGAAGTACAAATACCTGCAGAGAACAAGACAACAGAACAGATTAGAAAAATACTAATTACAACATCCCTATCTTAGAGGAATTAACTACAATCACAAGACAAATACAAGATGAAATCAACTTCGAGATATATACTGATAAATTTATGTCATGCCATGGCAACCAATATTACAAGGATTTTGAATGGATAATATTAATCAAGAAGAATCAAGAACTTCAATTCCAAGGATAAATAGAAAACTTCCCTTCATTGACTTAAGCAGAAATGATAGCTATCTTAATGGCAATCAGTACACTACCCTTGTATAGCAGAGCCAATATCACACAGACAGTTAAGCAACAATCAACAGTATCCAAAAAATGAAGAGAATAAACTACATATACAATTTGAGGAAACAAAAAACCTAGGGATCCTTTAACTATTTAAGGATATTATCACAAGCAACTATTAGAAAATTAATCTCATCAAAGTCAAGGCTCATACAGATAATAAACACAACAAGCAAACAGATTAGCTAATATAGACACATATCATGGTATAGTATCAAGACACAAAACAGCTTACATTCACTTTATAAAAAACTTACAATTTATATTACTTCCTCAATAGGACAACAATATACTCAAAGTTTATATCAAAATCATGGCCAAAAAATTGACAAAGGTAATACATCTGGTTAGATGAAGACTTTAAAATAAAACAAGAATTGAATTCAGTGACTGAATCATCAAATACATACATTGGTCTTCAACAATATTGAATCTGCAATCAACTAGAATAAGTGAACAACAAATCAACGAAAGAGATCAATAATAAAGGAAACTTAATCCCTACCTATAAAATGAAGAACTTCCAACAAAAGCCAAACTGTATCAGAGACTTCTTAACCTGTATAAAGATAACAAATGCACAATCTACAGATCCAAAGAGACAAATACACATCCATTAATATGTAAAGATCAATGACAAAAGACAGAAGAATACATAAGGAATACAATTATTGATAAGGTTAAATAGTATAGCAATAGGAAAGATACTGAAGAACAAATCAACAACTATCTAAGAAATAACTCTCTGAAGTATATCAAATACCTTAAATGTATCATCAAAGAAGTTATACTCAAAGAAACATATAACCTAATAACTAAATGTATGACAAAATTCAACTAAAACAAAAATGTATAAAAGAAATCAGACAAGAAACCAGCAAATACCTCTGCAACATCTGGATTCAAAGATATGAAGAATTCCAGAAATGAAAAAAACAGCAAGACATCACACAGAAAATCAAAAGAATAGTCAGATATAACACTCTACAGAAAAACACACAATTTAATACACTGGATAGACACTAAAAGATCAATATATTGACCTGATAAACAATTATATAGAACAATACATAAAAAATATTATACACCCCTTCCACATTTTCACAATTGTATATAGCACTAGCCCAGCCTTGGCTGGTTAGCTCCCATCCGGATGGCAACAGGCCACAAGGTGAGTTTCTCACTAATAAACTAGTTTGATTAACATAGGTAGTTCTAGCATAAACAAAATATATACATTTCTACTTAATCCAAATAAAGTACAGCGTTCAAAAAAAAATGTATGTCATATGTATTACTTTAAATACGATTTACAAACCCGATATTTTATTAATTGTAATTTTCATAGAGCGTATTACATAATTTTTTATATAACAATACAATAACGATGTACTGCGCCACAGTCACGTGGCGTGAACTTCGGTTCACGCCGATCAAATCACGTGATCTACGCTGAATTGGTAAAGTGATCTATAATGCTTTGGATCTGATTACCTGTTAACTTTGAAATCGTATCTGCACTATAACCCACAACTCGCTTAATTTTTGATATCCCTATTTTCTTGAACAATTGAGTTTTCTTGCGCAGGTTTTCCTTTGTGATGCCCGGAAGATGCGGGGTAATGAGATTGTACACTTGGGTTCTAGCTTGTTGGTCCTTGACTTTTTGGTTATTATCCATTATATATTGGACTTTCTTTTCGAACCGTTCCGCATAATGATACCAACACAAAATTTCATCCTGATTGGCCTTCGTTACACGTTTCTCTGCTAAACTTGCTTTTTGTTATAACCGGGCTAAACTCTGCATCATCGAATCTTTAGAACCCTCTTTGCTATCCTCATCGGTCTCTCCTTTGATAGGCGTAGATAGCTCTTGCAATAAACCCTGCAATTTATCCTGCTCACGAGTAATTTTTGGGGATGCTTGACGAGATGTTCGATTTTGTGAATCAGCCCTTCAATCTGTGGTTTGATCCTGCGTAACGGTATCGTTTGTATCAATTTGATCAGTTGTATTGACTTGCACCAAGTTAGTTGTACCCTTTTCGTTGCTAATGGAGCTTGTAGCTTGCTCATGTATCGTGACAGAAATGTTTGCAATCGGGCTCGTTCCGCAGTCCTTACTAATTTGCTCGGGAGATTCATCTCTAATAAACCCTAGTTTTACTATTTCCTCCCAACCCCCATCATCAGATGCGAAAGCATCCTCATTTTGTGAGTCATCAACGATAGTTACATTAGACTGCTGGGACGCCTTTCCTCCTTTTTCTTTTCAAGTTTGGAAAAAAAAGTGCATTGAGATTCAGAAAAAAAAGATAGCCTATTTATTATCTGGCTCCGGCTGTAAAGTCGGTACAGTGCCGAACACTTACTGCGGGATGGCGACGTAACACCGCACATTCACCAAAAGCAAGCCCAAGCTCCTCTCTATTAATTTCAATATCCCATTTACAGATAGGGCATGAAGGGAATTTTGTCTCTCCTCGCATAATGTGCGTTTCAACACACAATCTAATGAGCAAGTGGCCACGTGAAAGCTTCGAATTGGAATCCAAATATAGCTTTATTGCAGAACTTGCACGGGCAAAGTTTTGGTATGTGAAATATTTTTGTTTTGTAGGAAAGTGCTTCAAGCTGGAAAACCTCTGCGTCGGCATCGCTCTTGGAGGTGAACGAGACTTCAGGTACTCCATACGTTAAAATATCTCTCAAAAAAAGTGCATTGCAAATATTTCTCACCCCATATCACATCATGTATGTCGCTCGAAATTTATGTCCCAAGGGAGAGGTAAATCAAAATTAGGTTGCACGAAAAACATGTGGAGATTGTGCATCACGTGCAAGTTCAAAAACGTCTGGCATACTTTCGCGCTTACACCAAATGGAAGGTCCAGAACAAAGAGGAGAAGGGAGCGGACAAGGAGCCTTGAGGTCAGAAATACAGCACAGTAGAAAAGTTAAAAAAGCGGTATTTTTTTTTTTTTTTACCTATTTTAAATTTGAATCCTAGCAGGTTTTAAATACTAACGGCTGATTTCATATTAGAGGTCAATGATATATTCAAAATTTGACTTTTTGGACAGACCTTGGTGGAAACCCTCTTTTGATGAAAGCAATGCTAATTATTTAGTCTTGAATGCTAAGCGCTTCCAACATGTCATATCATTAACAGTTAACGAAACTGACGCGCTCTTTTGGAAGGGATATATTGACCTTCATCGTGAACATTATCTGCTCGAATGTATTTCTGCAGAAAGCGACGTTGACATCACTATCGACTTTATACAACAGGCTCTTAAAAAACCTGGTACTCTTGGAGTGTTTTTGAGCTGGCTTTGCGGAAAAATCTTTGCATCTTGTCTCACACCCGGAAAATCTTTACGTATGACTAAAAAAGTGAAAAATGTTCATGACACCATTATTGGAGTTTTCCCATCAATCTTCTTTCCTGATCTTCCACTAGATCAGTTTACACTTTCATTTGCACAACAGTTGCATCGACAAATTGGAAATGAGTTGATTAGTAATGCGGGTCAGTATAGAACGCGACTTGTTATGGCAGCACAAGAAAACTATGTATATATGGCACCGGATTTGATAGAGGGTAAAATGAATGAGTTATTCTGTCAATGTAGAGAGAAATTTGAAAGGACAGACTTGCAGTTGGAGGAAGCTATCAAGTACGGAGCTTGTTTTCTTGTCTATTTCTTGACGATTCACCCTTTTACAAATGGAAACGGAAGAGTAGCGAGGTTGCTTTTAAGTTATCTCTTATCAAAGTTTACTGTGGTACCTCTTTCTTTATATACAGGAGCTAAAACACGAGATATATATTTACAATGTCTCCATGAAGCACGGTATCAAGAACCATTTAATCCCAGCGCACTTGCAACCTTTATACTTGAATGTGTATACAAGACATCTTACAACATATGTGTAGTGATGGATATCGATATTCAAAATTAATGTAGTTGTTAATTCTGTTATGAAGTGTTAATAAAAAAGAATGTAACCACGGTTTAAAAGTTATCTTATTTTGGTATGAATTTCTGTGGCACTCGGATAAACCTCGCTGGCCATACCGATAAGTTTGAGATCGTTCCGGCCTTTCTATCCGTATACCTATATATTTTCTGCGTACAAGAGCTAAAACAAAATTAGTTTATTACACGTCTCATATTTGCTCATCTCGGACCGAGTGATCCAAAATGAAAACATCCTTACTATCCTTAGTATAGAAAAAATGACCTTCTTGGTCAGTTTTATAGGTGCAAAAAATAAATTACACAAGTACATATGAAGCGGGAAATCTACCAATTATTCTGTAAATTTTTTGATCCTAGCCTTCTTACTGGCTGGGGAATTATCAACACTGATTCTATCTTTTAATAATCCAACAATAACACCCAATACTTGCTTCACGTCCTCTCTCACAGATTCTAGATTTTTTTTAAGTGCTGTTTTGGAAAGATTAATTCGGTATTCACTTTTACTGGTGCAATAGATCCCATCGGTGGCAAAAACGATGAAATGCCATTCTGTGGCTAGAATTAAAACCGTTTTCTATTAGTAGAGCTAACAAATAAGGAATTCTAGAATATTTGTAAATGCAACATACCTGTGGAAACTATTCCGTAGAGATAGTCATAATCGTCATTTCGAAATGCTTCATCTGCTGTACGCTTCTTCTTGTTAGTATGGTACGCACTCTCTAGTTGCATGATATTCTGGAGATAACCGACCTCGACGTTACGAGGCTTTCCTTCAGCTATGCACATAAGATCTTCGTTTCCTTTTATCGCATAATCGACACGACCAGATGCTTCTTCACCGGAAACTCCTTTTTGATATGCTATATGGATTTTTTCTTCGTTTGTAAGACGTCGAACGATAGCCAGAGAAGCATTTAGTATCGATGTAATAAATACGCAACGCGTGGCTTCATTAGTACTATCTTGCATTGTTTCCAGATTTGAAAGTCTCAGTATTATTTCGTTCATGCATTGTTCGAGTGCTTTATCATTATCATCGATTTTTACGGAATCTATAAACAGAAAAACGTTAATACTGTATACATGGAATTTTCGAACGATTTACCATAAAAAATTAAGTATCACATACCCGGGTTGAATTGTTTGATGTTTGTTATATCCTCCCCTTTGACTTTATACTTGCGAAGAACATCTTTTAACTCATCCAGTGTTTTATACGACGAGAAGCTTCGTATTTTCTGCTCTTTGAGGCCCTCGATAAGTTTGTAAGTGTTGTTACAGTTCCACCCTTTAACCCATAACTACGAAACTCTTCTTTGGTCGTCTCAAGAAAGGAAAACCAGAGATCTCCTGTCGAAAAATCTTGAAATGCGACTCTTTGAGATCTAAATCTTCCTGCCTTCGCAAATAATCGATGAGTTCTTCCGTCATATACTTTTTAATTACATCCGCCATCGTGCGAGTCGACCTTTCTTCCGTCAAAGTAGAGGATTCAGATACAGGTGAAGAAGGGATTGAATCGTGTGAAGACATGATATCTTTTATATCGGTACAAGCGTAAAGAATCTGGTTTATGCGATGCGTTGCAAGAAGCTAGATAATGCAAGGGAAGAGAATGAAAATTTTTTTTCGTTTATTTTCAGGTGGATCGGTGGCTTTTTATGGTATTTGATTACGCAACTCATATAGAATGGCAAGTACACGACGATCTCGGAGATTGCGGAGATTTCGACTTCCCAAGACATAAGTCCCTTGACATACGCACTAATAGAGATTGACGGGCTAACCTTCCTTATTGCCTTTTTGAGATTCGTTTACGCTGGTTCTTATCGCAGAAGCATGTTTAATATGGAAGCAATTTCAATAAAAAATAAAGCGGAAAATAACGATTATCCATGTTGTACTAACTTCTACGCTGATCTCTGATTCGCATACATAACATCTATCCGTTATAATTTACATAATATACTTTCCTTGCCTCATATGTACATGCTATAATCACTGTATGACCGCCTACAGTAAGAAAACACGAATTAGATTTAAAAAGACTATAAAAGGAATGGGCTTATCATTTTTTATTATTAGTTTTATCAACTGAGAACTAGCACTATGAGAAGTCAACATATGAAAAGAGAGTGAAAGAGTTGTCTCTTATTATCAACATACTTCTGTATTGTTTCTCTACAGTGTGAGATGATAGAATATTAGTTCTTCTTTCTTTCAGAACTTTCTTACCCTTGGTAAGAAAGATGTTACTTAACTTTCTGATCACTAGCAGTCAAGTTTTTGTTTGAAGAGGAGTATTAACAAAAAGGAAAGGAAGTAGTAGTGACTCTTGAAGTTTTTTCAAGTTAATTTAAAAAGAGTGTTAAGACTTTATTAACATAGAAGTATGAAAACTTCTTGTGAACATTTTTGGTTAGAGGATCAGCAGAAGAGTTGAAACTGAATTTTTTTACACAATAAATTCACGTGTTGACTTTCTAATGCATAATTATTTGGTAAGTTTTATGTTATATTGTTATATTATAAATTTTTTTACAATTAATTTAAAATAAATATTAAATATTTATATAAATTTTTAATTAAATTAATATTTAAATCGATATAAAAAAATAAATTTTAAAAAAACTTTTGTAATAAAAAAAAAATTTTTTTTTTTTAACTTAAATATAATTTAATGAATAAACTTATATTGACTTTATTTTTAAGATATTAAAGAATATATTTTTAAAATTTTATTTAATTTAAATAAATAATTATTAAATTATAAGTAGCTATAGAATTTGTCATCAATCTCCTTATATTAATCATTGTGAGCTTGGATTCACTTTAGTCGTTTTAATATGAATAGTCTTGATCCTTGCAAAATTAATATCATTCTTTTTTTAAGATTTATTAATAAAGTACTTGAGATGTATACTTAATCGAGATCCACAAGTGATTTTTGACAATTTTTTTCTTTTCAAATAGCCAGAATTATCGGTTGGTTTCAAACACCTAAAATACGACTTTAAAAATTTGCGCAATTTTTGCTGCGACATACCTTCTCGGGCATTGGGTGTTCGTTAAATCAATATCTTTTGTTAATTGATTGCCTAATTTGTGTGGTTTACTCGATATATAGTTAGTACCGCTGGGGTAATTTAAATTTTATGATATTCAGCCGAGCGCATAATACATTGTGGTAAAGGGGAAATTATTTAAATGAACGCATTGTTTCACATTTTTGAAAGTCAACCTTCGCCGGCAATAAAAATTATATGCTATCTAAAAAAAAAGTATAGATGGCACCGAAAGATATTTTCACGGCCAAAAAAACATTAGCCTTTTACTTTCTGATATTGATATTTGTAACAAGTTTGTTGATAAATGGCTTGATAAGGTTG